GAGTACCCACTAGCAGGAGATTTTCAGGAAGACCCACCGGCGAATGGCAAGACATGACTCCAAGCGAGCGGGGAAATAAATCTATGATCTGTTGTAGGGGACCTGAAGCACGCGATTTGAAACGAATATATAATGAAATATATTTAAGAAAAATACTTGGAGAATACGGAACTAAGGAGTTCCATTGCTGCAAGTGTAAAGGGTTAATGGATATACATGAACTAAGAAATTGTAAACGAGAAGGCGAAGATCCGAGAATCACATATGCATGTGAAGTATGCGAAAATGGTAAGGAAACATGGTATGATATAAACAAGTGGGAAATAGTAAGACATGTACAAAAAATGGGAATAAAAAATAACTGGAGTTGGAAGTGTGGGTGTAATCCAAGAAGTATTGAAACCCACTTCGGAGGAAATGAAAGGACAACTCGGCAACACTGTTGCAAATGTAAAACAATCGCAAAAGAAGATAAATTAACTTTCAGGTTATGTGGAAAAGCAAAATTCCAAACTTGTGAAGACAGTGAGAATGAAGAAAAATTAGAATTAGGAGAAGAAATACCTGAAGAATGGGAACGACAAAAGGTAGTGATATGTGACGTTTGTCAAGGGAAATTCCCAAGAAGAAGAAAACAGGGAGGATACAGTCATGAAAAAAATATATGTGATTTAGAATGCCAAGTAGCATTGGCAGCAGCAACAGAAGCAGTACGATATACTGAAATACGGGAAGAAGTACGAAGAAGAACCGAGGGAACGGGGAAACGATTTAGAAATACGAGAGAATATAGTAATAACAAGACTGGAATAGTAAGACTGGCGGGACTATATTTCAGAAAATATAGGGAAGGAGAACTTATAACAGACGAACAACTAAGACAAGCAAAAGAACCACGGGAAGAGGATGAATGGACTCACACAGGAAGAGGATGGACACTAGAGGAAGAAATAAGATTAAATAATATAATGAGACAAATGGATGAATCGGAACCAACGGAAGAGTTTACTCAAGAAATGGAACAAATGGAAAGAATAATAGAAGAAACATTCCATTACGAGGGAGAAAGAAAAAAATTTAAAATGGTACATACGAAAAGGATACGAAAAACTACAGGACATAAAAATGGGATTTTGTAAAGAATGCTTAATGCCGCGAAACGAAGGAAAGGAATATTGTGAAGACTGCGAAATAGAATACCAAGAACAAGAAAAAGGAAAGGGAAAAGAAACCCCAGTACCGATCAACATCGCAAACAG